GCACCGCACCCAAAAGCAGGAAACCGCGTGTTAACGCATATCCCCTCGGCCCGGAACTCCAGGCCGTGAGATTTGCGCGGCAGACAGGAAATGGTTAAGTGGTGCGCCTATTTGAACTCGTCTTCTAATCAAACGATTGTAGCCGAGAGAGGAACAAATCTCGGCTGTCAGGTTCACGGCCTGAGCTACAAGGCCGTTTAGCGGTGGTGTTGTTGGTGGGTTTCGGGCGGTGCTCCGGCGCGCTGCTCAGTGAGCGACGGTCGTATGATACATGGGGTGAATGAGCGAATCGCAAAGATGGTGCTCCGCCGCCTTGAAAATCAAGGGTCATATGATATATTGATGAATGGATTTTCCTTACAATCTAACGCTACTCCTAGGAAAGCAAATAAAATATTGAAAGTGCATTACAGGAAAGTATAAGTTGCCCCGTGGCAGGCTTTGGTTTGGTGGAAGTAGTCTTGAGCCTTTTATTTATAGGAAGAGTTCATGGAGGAGTAATCGAGGCTGAAATCCTGCATAGTGGAGTCTGATTAGAGCAAGTGGGTAGTCCAATCGACATTTGGGATCATGAAGTATGGTGGTGTGACCCCATAAATCCTGGTGAATCTCGGCCGCCACCCTGATCGTGGGTTCTGCGCCTCTGGCCGTGGGGACGCATTTATTGTTCTGATAGCTGGTCATCCAATCTCTCAAGCTGTAAGAATCATTGTGAGAATGTCTGCGTCTAATCACTCTGTTTCCTGTCGCCACAACCTGACTTCAGTCACTTCCCACCTTCCCTCGTGCATTAAATGCTTATTCGTGGCCAGTGGGTTTGCTGCAATAAACAGAGGCATTACTTCATTAAATGAAGCATGGGACCTATGTTGCACGGACACGGGTACGGGGACACGGGAACGCGACACGGCGACACGGAAAATCTCAAAAAAGTAGGACACGGCGACACGGCGATACCGAAAATTTTAAAATAATAATTAATTCTCAATATTTCAATGTCACATAATTCCATAAAATAAAATAAATAACTCATGTTCATCATCCATACATAATAATTAATACACCACAAAATAAAACATAAATGATTCAATCTTCTTCAATGGAAACTGAAGATAAGCTCAAAGAAAGATGATCTCTGGGGCCTGGCTTGAATTAACTTGCTGAGATGATCTCTGGCTGTTTACTTCTACCATGACTGGATAAGCTGCTTCTGTTTTCCTTTTATTTTCAACAAACTCTTTCACCAGTTCAGGGGTCGAGTTCGCTGTCTTGTTTTCTTCCAGACTTGAGGTAGCTTGGACTCCCTTCAATCATCGCTGTCTTGTTTTCTTCCTGCCGTGTCTTGACCGTGTCGGAGCCGTGTCTTGACCGTGTCCGCGGCGTGTCTTGACCGTGTCCCAGCCATTGACCGTGTCGGAGGCGTGTCGAAGGCGTGTCGGAGACGTGTCGCCGTGTCGGCGTGTCGGCCACTC